ATGGTAGGTGAGGTGAAAAGGTAATGAGAAGCCACACATTTGATGTGTGGTCCCTGTGTTCCCAAGGGACTGTGGCCTTTTGTACAACCACTATTCTGGCCATCTCATGGATTCAATTTAGAGGTTCTCCTTTAAGAGAGAACATTTCCAAAGCTAAGTTGACAGTGACAAAGTTGTAAGCAGCTGACTTTTTACAACCTTGTCTGCTGTGTGCCTTTCAGTTTGTTGCCTACTAGTTTATATCATCTTTATCTCAAAAAGTAATGAATGGTTTAACATATGATAGACAAATATGTTTGCAGTTAAGGGTAACAAGATTTGCTTGAACAGATAAATAAGTACTGTAAATGTTTTAATATTCCATTCAATCGGTTTTTTTTTTTTTTTTGTATATCCACCTCTACATATGCTGATTTTTGATAATAGGTAGACTGCTTTGAAGACTGGGTGATTCAAAATGAAGATGACTAAAGCATATGTGCTGTGTGCTCTGTGTGTGTGTGTGTGTGTGTGTGTGTGTGTGTGTGTGTGTGTGTGTACGTTAAAAGATAGCCAGAGAAATCTTAAATCTTCCCACTAGGTGCTGTAAGATGAAAGGGACGTGTCTTTCGGAAATGAGTTCTCAGACCCTCCCCCAAGTGAACTGGAAGAGGTCATCTTCTGGGGCAAACATGCTTTTTTTCTTAACTGTGAACTTAGTGACTACATCTAGAGAAGACACAGGGCAGTCGGTACTGAGGACATTCAGGAAGTGTGATGGCATCAGGGGAACTTTCTCAGCTCTCTTGGGATGTGTGCAAATACCTAGATAGCAAGTATAAACTCTGAGCTGGCTACATCAGGGTTTAATGCTGTCCTGCACTTTCCAGATGAATAACTCTAAGCTAATCATTTAATTGTTGTAAACCTTAGCTACCTCTTTAAAAAAAATAGGATGGTAATAACCACATAGGTTTGTTGTGAGGACTAAGTAGGAACATGTATGTAAAAGCTTCCAGATATTTAAGACTTGGTCAGTGTTAGTTTTGTTTTCTCTCCTTCCCTCGTTCCCTCTTTTTGTCCCCCATCTCCCTATCTCTTCCCTTCCCATCCTTTCTCCTGCCTTCACTTCCTTTCTTCATGCAGAATTACATGCCATAATTTGTTTAAATTATGGCCCAACAATTAAATACTATCAAAATCTTCTCCAAACTTGAGTGAACATTTGGGTTATGCTGAATCTTTTCATGAGTCATTTTTTTAACACATACATGATTGTATATGTCCATTGATAGTCTTAACATGGTGAAATGCATGTAGAGTAAATTCACTGACAGAAGATAATATGTCATGTCTTGGCATTTGACTAACAAAACTTGGCCAATACAACCCTAGACTGATGAAGACAGGCTGATCCAAAACTGTATAGAATCTGGCCTTGCCCACATGGCTGAGGCATTATCATCCGTCGGGGAGCCTACAAAACTTGCCCTTGTGATACATTCCCTTAAATCTCTGTGGCTTAGTACACACAAAGTTATTTCTTCCTCGGGTGAAATGTAATCAAATGCTAGCAGTAATGATTGTTTGGGAGACTTCTCTAGGTAGTAACTCTCAGATTGGGCTTCTCAATGTGTGACTTTTCTTCAGGCTTTAAAAAAAATGACCTCTGTAGTTACACCGAAAGAAGAGGGCATATGAAGAAAGATCCTGAAGAAGGAGCAGGTACAAAGTTTGTAGGAGAACTATTCACACCTTTCCTGCCCACATTGCTTGGAGTTACATGATCAAATTATTGGAGCTAGAAACTGTGGTCTGTCTTTGTGTCTAGGAAGAGGAGGAAACAGGTTTTGTGAGCAACAAGCAACCTCTGACAAATGAGTGTTGGCTCAGCCTCTGTCTCCTGGACCAACATTCCTTCCCCTCTTTCACTGATTGTTATTCCAGACTATAATGTTAGTTTATGATCCAAGTTTAGCTTGGTTCTAGGGATGGGGAGAGACGGCTCAGTGATTGAAATCTCTTGCAGAGGACCTGGCTTTGGTTCCCAGCACCCACTTCGTGGCTCACAACTACCTGTAACTCCAGTTCCCGGGATCTGATGCATCTTCTAACCTCTGTGGGCACCATGCTTGCATGTGGTGTGCAGTCATCCATGTAGACAACACACTCATACAGATAAAATAAATTAAATCTATTTTTTAAATTTTAACTCCTCCTAATTGGGAGGGGTGTTTGCTTACTTACTCTCATCTGATAGCCTGTTGATCCATATTCTTGACTTCTTGGCCATACCTCCGTTTTAAAAAATACAATTATTTCTTGGTTAAAGAAAATCTTAGAGACATTTGAGTTTGGACAGTCATTTTCATAGTAAGGTTGCTTCTCCTTAAAGATTATTGTTAGCTTTGCTTGTGAATGGGAATAAAATAGAACATTTTAAAAACTGTATTTGAAGCTTTCTTCTTTATAATACTTGGGCATTTTGAAAGACAGGTGAGTCAAAAGGAAGGGATTTCCAGGTACAGTGAAAAAAATATGTTTGGCTTTTAGCCCTGATGAGCCATGCAAGTGACTCATCTTGAAACAGACTACAGAGAATAATTGGAAATATCGGAAGTCTACACATCCAAGAAGGAAGAATGTTACATATGGTAGTAAAACAGTGAATAGTTCTTTGTTTGGTTCCCTTTTTGTTTATAAGTGCTTATTTTCCCTCTAACTTCTGACTGGGGATACATTCCCTCTGTATTTTCTTGCCTTCCCCAAATCTTTGTTCCAAGGTGAAAACCAAGAGGAGAAAGGGCAAGGGTAGTGTCTAGCCTAGGCTACCTCATGGGGCCAGTGCTCTGTTTAAAATCTGCCTGAAACAACGTGGACAAGCACACATTGAAGGGTGTAGACTAATCACACAATGGAGCTTTATCAGCAGGTTAGGCTCAACCTTAAATTCAGAGTTTCTGTGAGGCAAATGGAACAGCCGCCCTGTGGAGTACTTGAAGCTCCACAGTTTGGGTTTGGTGCTCCTCCAAGCAGATTTATTCCTCACAAAGGCAGTAACTTAAGATTGGCTGCTAGTTCAAGTTCATTGGCATTAGATGATTGTACTTAAAGCTGTAAAGAGAGAACAGCATCTTCACAAGCTCACAGAGTGTGTTCTGGGGTGAGCTATCAGGGAATGATGGTGGTAGGTGAACCTCAACTGCTAAACTAAAACTCCTGTTCGTGTGTGTGTCGTATTGACCACATGGAAATGCTCAGAACCTGCTTGTTAGTGGTGACTGTCACATGGAACCGCTTAGTTAATTTATCTGGCTTCCCACAGCCTTTGTGATTACAGGCCACCATCAAGAGATTTTATTTAAATTAAGATGACCTTTAGTATGTTTTCCTGTTTGTGAAAGTAATACATAATCATAAAATTCCATCCTTTAAGAAATACGTTGTGGAGAAAGGGGAAAATCTCCCATAATTTTCAACACAATTGCTGTTAGCATGCTTTTGCATGTAGTCTTCAAATACTTTCAATGGCTATCTTAACATTTTACTATTCATTTTCTTAATAATAGATGGGTTTGTGTGGTCTACATGGTTTCTCATATTTTCCCTCTTACTACATCATGGGCATTATTATAGCAGGATTTATTTCTAAGAAAGTTTTCCTTTCTCTTATTTCTTCAGAGTCCCATGGTCCCATTGGGTGGATTATAGTCTAGAAAATAAAAAGAAGAGCTCTGGGTGATGATTATTCTCCCTCCCTCCCCTTCCTCCTCCTCCATAAGACTTTTCTGAAAGAAAGATCATTCCAAAACACTTTTGAAGGCAACAGTATTAGGTTTGTCCATGGATCTGCTTTCCTATTGACCAGTCATTACTTCTGATTGATGTATTGATGGTGTGATGCATGAATCAATGACTTGAGAAAAGACAGTTCCCACTCTGTCGTTCCACTGTTGTGGAAGCTAGTGTAATGTGGGGGTGATGTTGCTGTCTTCTAGAAAGATGGGCTAGGTTGTCTACCTACAGAAAAACCAAGCTCTGTAAAGGACAGAATCCCAATTCGTTAGATTGTTTTGCAAGATTTTCTTGGCCCGATTCTCTAATATCAACTCCCAACACCCCATCCCATGTGCCCATGCTTCAGACATGTGCTTCTTACTGTTTGCCACTTCTGTGTCCTGACTGACTTTCCCTGGCTTGGGATGCTTTTGTTCCCTCTGTTTGGTGACTCTTGTATGCTCACAGCTCTGTGGTAAGACATCACTTGACTCCCAGGCAAAACTCTTCGTCCTTGCTCTTGACTTCTTTTGTGTGGCTCTGATGTCATGTCACATTTTACTTTATCTCCCTTAATTAATTAATCAATTAATCAATTAATTAATTAATTTTTGTTTTGTGGTACTGGAGGTATACCACTGAGCTGCATCCCCAGCTCTCTGTTTTATTGTAGTGAAATACACACACAGTAAATTTCACAAAGCCTGATCAGCTGATTAATTTATCAGGTCAGATTTACACTTGGGCTACAGCCGTCAGAACATAGAAACATGCTTTCCCCCTTTTCTATTTCCAGAGCTGACTCAATAAGTTCTCAAATGAATATGATTGATGAGTGGTAATTTTTCCCATTCCATCCAATATGGATTTCTTATAAAGGGTTTTTTTTTCTTTTACCAAACCAAACATTTATTGTCATTCATTTCATTTCTTAAGAGAAACAAACTAAATTACTGATTTCTCCAGTGGAAATTATGGATTCATGAATAAAACACAGATATATTTATTTTTCTATTCATTGGTAAAGTTTTATTAGAAGATGTTAATCTCAGGATGAGATACTACAAAGAAAAATGTGGTTTGTTGTTTATTCCTTACAGGAAAAAAATTAACTATTTCCTTTCTTATATCCCTAAATCTAGATTTAGATTTTTTAAAAATGGAGTGATATTCTATTCAGGTTTACTTCTCCCACTAAGAATCAATGATAAATTTTTGTAAAAGGTATCTATGCATTTTTAAAAAAATGTTGGGCATTACAGTCAGCCCTGTGGTTTTCTCTGATAAGGGCTGCTCTCTCCACCCTTTTGTCTAGGAGGAGTGTATCAGCAAAGCCTTGCTTCATCAGACTAAGACTTCTTGGTACTCCAAGGGTACCTATGCATTTTCTAAGCTAGAAATAGAACATTTGCTCAGAGTAATTTGGTTCAACAGAAGGGTTTAGTGGTCTTCCTGGAAAGATGATCCTGAGATCCATGTCTTTCATTTTCATTAGGTTCAAAGGAGATAAACACAGTTCCCAGTTCAGAAGGCTGGCCTAGTTACCTCTTGTGCATACAGAGTTCAGGTGGAGAGACAGTACTACCTGACACTGTCTGAGATTCTTAGCTCTTCTTTGAGAGGTATACGTGGAAAGACTACTAGTGGACCTGGATAGCCAATCCCTTCTCAGCTTGTCCTAGTATTTTTATACAATTGTTTTTCTACATTAATTAGTCAATTAATTAGTTCATTCATTCACATAATCTGTCATTATCAGTGTCTTTTATTTCCAGTGTGTTCTCTTGCATATCAGATTAAAATTTCGTCGACCACTTTTACAGACACAGTTTTACTCCTTGCAAGTAATTGACCTAATTGAGCAAGTATTCATTTGGAATCATCCCTGTGCTCAGTACTGTCCAAGATCATAAACTATAATCTCTCTAGAAGGTAGCATGTTATCCCATTGATTTAAATAATAGCTGGTGAGTTTTAAGTTCTTTGTGTGGTTGGTTTTATAGCCACACCCCCCACACCTGAAAGGAACAATATATCTCATTATTTCTTAGTATTAATTATATGAATACTTGTCACTAGTTAATCCATATTGCTTCAAGCATTTTTCTGCATGTGTGTGTGTGTGGTATGTATACATGTTTGTGTATGTTCACACTTGTTGATGTCAGGTGTCTTCCTTGACTGCTGTCTACTTTATTTATTGAGGCGGGGTCTCTTGCTGAACCCAGAGATCACTAATTCCAGCTAGTCTAGCCAAGGGTACACCTGAGTGATAGGATTACAGGTGGATACTACACTGCCTAGCCTTACATGGGTTCTGGAGATTGGACTCTGGTTCTCATCCTTGAGCAGCAAGTACATTTACCATTGAGCAATCTCTCCAGCTTGCTTTGGGCCTTTTAAAAGGCAATATCCTGGTTTTAAAAGGATATTGTAAGTACAGAAGACTTAGTTATGTTAAGTACATATTATAGTTATTCTGTAGAAAATTTTGGAGGATTGTTGGCAGGTTTGTGAGTAAAATGCAATTGCTCAGATCTTAAACTGAGTACTCACACTTGTAAACGCACCTGCTATAGCGTCAATATTTGAGCTAGAGCAAAGCAGATAAAAACCAAGTGTCTGCACTTGGATCCTGGTTTTGGAGAGGCCATAGATATGTTGTATGGAAGCTTGTAGTAGCATTTGAAATTACTATGATATCAACGTGTTTAATGGGCACTCCAATAAAAGGTAATGAGGGCCTGTGATAAGAAAGTATGTACTAAGTTATATTTACTTATCATTTGGAATGGAGAAAAGTAAGACTCTGCCTTCAGTTTTCATCCCATGAGGACATGGGAAAGATAGTAATTAGAATTAGATCCCCACCTGCCTAATAAGGGGGGAACACTGATGGCTTCAGAGAATGCTTTCTAAGGAAGGACAAAAATTGAGTATCTGTACTTGGATCGTGGTTTTGGAGAGGCCATACACCTTCCATAGTGGTGGAAGACCCTTTCCTCTTGTCTTCCGTGGTCTCTTTTCAAAGCCTAAGTCTTACTCAGAAGTAACTTCTCAAAGTCAGAGAAAACTTAGATCGCTTGGTCTTTGCCTGTAAATCAATGGTTGACACTTTTTTGTGTGTTCTCCTTTAGAGTTTTGCCCTTACTAGAGGGCAGGTAAAGAGTCTATGTCATTAATCACAGAACTGTTTACCACTATAATCTAGAGGGCACTTGCCCATGGCAGGCAGTAAAATTACCTTGGTTGTGTAAGTGTGGTTTGCTTAGACTGGCCCCAAATGTTTGGGAATTATTCAAGAGCTGTCTGAGACTTACCAATGAGCTATTTTTTCACTGTTCTCTTCAGATTCACCTTTACACCTTCCAATCACATTGACAGGATTGGAGGTTCCAGAAATTGCAACATTACTGACTTCCAGCCATGTGACATAGGATTTCAGACACCCAGTTAAATTTTAAGCCAGACATTTCTCTTCAATTCAGGTCACCTACAGGCCAGACAAAGCCAAGGTCATATGTTGAACCAATATAAGCGTTCTGTTGGTTCCAGTAATTCTCCTGTTCATAGCTTGAAATACTATACCATGGTTAATCATAAGTGTCAGATGCTGTGTCCTTTTATTTATGAGCCCTTAATTAGGAGGACACAGCAAGAATCCCTGTTCACGAGGAGCCTTTCATGAGGCCTTTTTGGACACTCCTTCCTTTGTAATTGTGCAGAGGATTCAATGTTGGCTTGCAAAAACTGTTGAGTAGTATATATCAGCCTTTCTGAAAGCAACATTTTCTGTGCTGTAACTGAATGATCCATCTGTAACCTTTATGTTGCTGCTATTACAGAGCAAACAACAACAACAACAACAACAACAAATAACTAAGCCATTTCTCTCCAACCAGTTTCTTTGAATGGATCTTTACTGGCCCCAACACTAAATGTTACTAATCTTTCTCTCCTCATTTTTGTCTTATATATACATAGTTTTGTAAGAATTCAAAACAAAACTTTTGTCTTTTTTCAAAGAGGGCCATAATTAGGAGTTTAGATAGGATCATTTTATGAATAAATATTAAAGTAGAATTTGTAGTCAGATAATTTAGTGTCATTTTCCATTTTCATATTTCTATATTTATCAGCTTCCTTCTCAGATTTATAGCACCAAAAAATAATGTACAGTTTGTTTTGTTTTGTTTTTTGTTTTGTTTTGTTTTTGTGGCAGTCAGAATGTTTCTAAACTTTAAATCCATGCTTACCTTTTAGAGCTATCATTTTTGTGGGTATCATTCCTTTGGACTTCCACTCTTCTCTCAGTGATCCCATGTGAATCCTCCATTCCAGCCACACAGGTTCCATGTGGTTACCTGAACACAACATGCTTTTTACCCATCTTTCTGGGTCACATAATGCTGTCACCCCACCCTTCCATTCTTTCCTCATCACCTTCCAGATGACGAGTCGGGGCTGCTTCCATCAGTACCTTTCCCCTTTGCTTTACACTTGAACATCAATGCTGCTCCCTGCATCACCCATTTGCCTGTTATTGAAGTACTCCATTCTAGCTTATGTTTTAATCTTTTTTTGGGGGGGTGCATTTTCTTGAACAAGCAACAAGCGGTAACCATACCGAGGACCAAGGACATATTTTCCAAGTAGCATCCAGATGGTTAGCTTGGCACAAAATTGCATATTTCTATTATTTTCTCATCAATAGATGGGAAACATTAGTGTCTGATTTCTCAGAACTGCTCTGAGGAAGGGCAAAGAAACTGACTGTGAACTCAGAATTCTCTTAAAAGTAGTTAGTATTTTTTTCCAAAAGGATTACCACTCATGTTCAGTGACAGCTGTATGGCCCTGCAACCTGACTCTTCTACAGTATCTGAAAATGAAAATGGACAATCAACCACAGACAAAGGTGATACACTTACCCTTTGCCTCCAGTCTGTTTAACCAAGCCAAGATGAGGCAAGAGTGCTGGGAACTGAGCTTTTCTGAGTAATGTATTTATTTAGGCTGCTTTCAGCTTCTTAACCTCTGCTTCCTCTCCACGGTATCCACCTTTTCAATGCGCTTTTTGTGTAGGATGGCATGTTAGCTGTTAGAATAATTGGGATCACACCCATTGTGCCAGCAATAGTCTATCCCAGTGTGATCACATTTGCTGGACTGCTTACCAGCAGGAGCTAAAGGGAAAATGGCTTGGGACATTAAATAAATAAGTCAGCTAAGAGGGCTGTCTAGGTCCAAGGAGCGAGTTTCTGGATTTGTTTAAAGAATTAAACTTATGCACTACACTTCCCCCCTTTGCAATACAGATAGAAATCTTTGCTAGAGGAACATTTCAACATCCCAGCTGCAAGTATAACTTACAATGGAAAATGTTTTTCAGTTTGGAAAGAGGCAATTGCTATTCTGTAATGAAAGACAAGGATGGCTAGGGAGAAATTGTGTTCAAGATTGACATGGCTTGATGAAAGGAGTAAAGTTACTGTTAGTCCTTGAAGTTATGAGATCTCTGTTTTCATCTTATTTTTAGATTGGCCAAGAAATATCCAGTGTCCACTGTGTTGAGGACTGTTAAGCATTATGAACATTACAGTAATAATAGAAGACACAGTTACTGCTCTGGAGGGAGTGGACATTGAATAGGCAACTGATATAGACTAGGACCAGCAACAGAATGATGTAAGTCAGGTATAATCAAAGAGCCCCAGACAAACTGCAGACCAGAAGGTAATGAATGGATCACTATGGGCTCTACTGCTACGTAGCTGTAAGTTTCTTAGATATCCTCCACAAATCATATCTTTTCTTATAAACAAGGCTGTATGTGCCCTTTACCAAGTACAGTATGTACAACTGTGAGCTTGGAACTTTGAGCGTCTTGCAAAACTGTAAACAGAGAACGAACCAGATCCAACAGTATGACAAAAGATGACTTTGGAACCCCGAATATTCTGCAGTAGAAGGAGTCAGCACACTTAGTAGTGTGATTGTAATAGAGATGATGTCCTTTTTCAACTTTGTAAAATGTGACTTTTGGTTACAACTTGAAAGAAAAAAGCTATTCTAATTCTGTTTACTTTCCTTAATTAAAAAAAATATAGAATTTAATTTCCCCCTAAGTTTGAGTATGTTTTCATTTTAATTTGCTCCACTTATTAGTTTATTCAGCACATAACTACTTTTGGCAGGCTTCTATCCCTTGTGCCCTGTGGATATAAGGATGGGGACCTGGGGCCTGTCTGGAAAAGGAGGAAACTAAGAGGCAAAGCACATGCCTACAATTTTAACTTCTTAGGATATGTGTGTTTTCTATACTTAATTTTGAAGAAAACTCATATTTTAGCTAGATTTACCATGTCTTGT